TGAACAAGTATATATATATATATATATATATATAATATATATATCTAATTTATACTTCATTTGGGTATATGGTTATACGTGAAATAATTAATTAATAAATTATTTAAAATGTTTAAATATAGTTTAATTATTTTAGAAAATAGAAAAAAAAATCGAATATTTAAAATAAATAGAAAAAACATTAAAAATTTAATTTAATTTAATTATAATTAAAAAAATTAATAATCTAATTGTAACAAAAATATCAAAATTTAAAGATTAATGTAATATTTTGAATAAAAATATATTTAATTTAACATAAAGTAAACTAAAAATATTTAAATTCTACAATTTAATTAAAGGAACAAAATTTGTAGTTTAATTAATTAAATTAAATTAAATATTTAAGCCAAAATTTAGTGAAATAAATGCTAGTGAGAATATAATGAATCTGTTAATTAAAAATTGGCTCATTATTTATTGACATTTTCATTTTTAGGGGGCACCGAATCCTAACCCAAAATAAATAAGAATCTTCCATTTACAAAAAGAAATTATCCAAAAATAGCGGAAATAGTTAAATCAAGTAATCCAACGGCTACCGTATCTCACTCATACCTACACCTTTGATACATGCAAGTATTGCCTCGATGACTTACGGTTGCAATTCACAAGCTTAAAAAGGTTGTACGTTCTGACAATCGATGATAGTTTTTTCAAAATGTACAACCCGTTTTTGCCTTCTACAAGAAGCTTCGCTTATCGGGTCTGGTGGATCTCTCTCTCTCTCTCTGTTTTTTCTTTCACTCGGACAGAGACAGTCTCTGTTTCTCTCTCTAAAAACCTCAACATCTCTCTCTAAATCTATAGGCGTACGTGTAGAGTATCGGCCATGTGATTTGCCCATTCGATTCGCTTTCTGTAAAAAGCCTGCGCTGATTCCGTTTCTCGCTTTTCATTTGTTCGATTTCTTTTATTCTTCTGTTTTCCTTTAACATGTTGTTGAAAATTTATCTGGGTCTGCAACGACATTGGTGAAAACGAACTCAACGTTTGATTTTCCTGGAAATCTCACCTGATTTTTCATGGAAATTTTCATTTTTCGGTTCTCGGTTTCGGTGTTATCGAATTTCTTCTCGTGATAGCCTCTTGTACGTGTAATTCTGGTTTGGTTGATTTGAAGCTCGTCCTCGTTGATCCGATCTTTTTCATTTTTCTAGGTTTTTTATTTAATATAGTGAGATTGTTGTGTCTGCTTTTTTTTTTTTTAAAAAAAAAAATTGAACTCCTCATTTTGAAGAGTTTAGATTTTTCTATCTACTATATAGGTTTTTGTTTTTTGTATTTTGCTTGATTCTATCTCAATTCTCTCGATCACATTTTTCTCTAGGGATTTTCCTTCGCAATCTCAAATTCCTGTTCTCGTAACTTGATCAAAACTCTGTCTCGGTTCCTTGTTGTCTCTGTCCTTGATTTCGTTGTTTTCTCAGTGAAGAATCAAAGGTCAAGTCCGAATTTTCTCTCTGTTATTATTTGTGTTTTTATCTCAAAATCTCGTTGTTTTCTGAGAATTCTCCTGCTGGACTAGATGGATAAGGATAAATCCTCTAGTCATGGTGGTGGGTTACCACCTCATTCGGGTCGGTTCTCCGGGTTTTCGCCCAATGGAAGTGGTTTCAACTTGAAACCCGAGTCATCATCATCATCATCTTCATTACCTCCATTGATTCCCGGTGCTAGCTCAGAATTGGGTCATTTTGGTCATGGATCTGATTCTAGTCGCTTCAGCCATGATATCAGCCGCATGCCCGATAACCCACCAAAGAATTTGGGTCACCGCCGTGCCCATTCTGAAATCCTCACTCTTCCTGACGATATTAGTTTCGACAGTGATCTCGGCGTGGTGAGTGGTGCGGACGGGCCTTCCTTCTCCGATGA